ACTTTTAACAGACCAAACCAACGAAAAAAGAAATGACAAATGGTTACACAATAACAGCAATAACGATAATAACGTCAAAAGAAAGAAAGAAATACCAACAAACTATAGGACCAAATCAACAAAAAATATTTTTCTTATTTTGATCTCACATTACATCCTTTACTTTTCTTCCCTTATACTGTTACCATTTTCTGGAACTGCTTCATTTCCCCCTCACTTCAATCACTTCAGTTTCAAACCTTCTAACCAGCTAGTTTCGCTACCAAGTACCGATGAAGTGCTCGATGATGATTGATGATCATGACAACGATGATGGCGAATCTGACGATGACGATAACAACGACGGCATTAGACCTTCGAACAGTGTGTGGTCACATAAGAAACAACAACTGTAAACTGTTGATTCCAATTATTTCAAACGTAGACGAGTTAAACAAATTGTCAACAAAAATTTGGTGCAAAAAATTGCCTAGTCTATAAACTGCGTGGTGACCACAGACTGTAAGAGGCACTAAGTGATCCAAATCAACGAGGCACTCTACCACAGATCAACGGTAGACCATGCAGTACACGCATAACTCCGACGTCCCTGCTCTATACTGTAATAGCAGACAATATTAGACTCTATGATGTTAACAATTACATATAAATCAAGCTGAAAATTACAACGATGATGGCTTTTATTCATCACTGTTGTCACAACAGCTGCAACAACCCTGCCAATTATTGCTCTACTGCATACCGCTTCTTCAACAACAATCACAGTGTATAAACTGTAGTACAGCCCTCAACAACGTTGAAAGATCTCTATGATACAGTAGAAAAACCAAAAAGTTCTGTTCAATGTAACTGTGAAATCACTTAACGCCAAAGGGAGGAAGGAAGGGAGAGACGGAGGGAGCAAGAGTCTAGCCTCAAAAACACTATATACTGTAGACGCTGGGGCAGCAATTAAACTGTTGACCATCAAAAGTAGTTCCAGCAGCAAAGTTAACTTTCTACGAGGTTTATACTGACAACGAAAATAAAATAGATTGAAAAAAAGTTGTAGAAGAAAAAATTTTGAAACAAAAATGAATTAAAACCATGGCAAAAAATGAATGATGAACAGTGACGGTGATGAAGATGATACAGCAACTGAAACAGAAAAAAAATCGTACAGTTAATCTCACAAAAAAAAAGAAAATAATAATAATAAGAATAAGAAACAATAATGATTAAAAGAACATTAGGTGATAAAATAATGCAAAAAAATAATAAAAATAAAAGACCAAAAGAAAAAATAAGACAAATATCACAAAATTAATATCTTAGTTTCACAGTTGTATAATTGAACTGATAACAACAGTAACAGCAGTAAAAAAGATTAGAAGATATATGAATGACAATATATCAAATACCCTTAAAAAAGAAAAATTATGTGACGAAATTGTTAAATAATTGTTGAAAGAAAAATACTGATAAAGAAAAGCAGAAATAACAACTGCAAAGTCTACAGGGAAATATGACGAAGAAAAAAAATTTGTTGTATCGATAAGTACCCCTACCCTTCCTCTGCTCCCACCTTTCCTTCTCCTTTTTTTTTTTTTTCATTTGGCACTTCTGAATACCGTTAGCATTGCAAACATCAAGATTGGAAAGCGATTTGTGTCTATTATAAATGCTGCATTAAAATTTTCCGCTTCCCCCGCAGCATACGTCAATGGTAATCTGTGTATACAATGCATCTAATTTTAACAAATTTACAGTATTAAAAATGTGATAAAACTCAGTTGCTCTAATTTAATACTCTTTCTTGAATACTATATTCCAAAAAAAACTATTTTCCTTTTTTTTTCAACCATTCTTAGTCGCAACCAAGTCATAAACCCAAGTATATGGTCCTTGTTTTACAGCTGCAATTCTTTGCGTAAACACATAAGAAAAATAACAGTTCTTTAATGACTATTGCATTAAAGAAAAATCTCTCAACAAGTAACCACCTAATCTTCAAATATGCAAGCTATAAGTTTGCTTAAAATGTCAGACTTTTATTTCACGATGCTTCTAATATCAAACCAGAATTTTTGATTTTTCACTTTAGTAAACCGTTAAAAAATTTCTTTAATCTTTATCGAATAAATAACATTACTACTGTAGATGAAGCAAGTTTTCTACACCAATATTCCTACCAATCGAAACAAATATCGAATAAATAATTTCAAAAGAAAAAAAAAAACTATTGATTATCAATTATATACAGAAAATTTATGAACCCTATTTTCTACCAAGACTTTTTACCAACCATTTAAAACTCTTCACCAAATCAACAACAATAACAGTAACAGCAACAGCAGCAGCAACAGCAACAAAAAATACACAGCAATAGAAGACTACCTACCAAAAGAAAAAAAAAAAAAAACTATATCTCTTCTTTTCAATATGTACTGACAATACCTTAAAATGTTGATGGTTAATAAGTGAAAATTATAGCTTACGATAAAATACCAGCAAAGATAAGGCTCAAAACCATACTTTAACCAGACGCCGGTATCGGCTGAAAGAAGAAAAACAAAGCAAGCAGACATACAATTACAGTCGGTTAATCACTAAACGTACAATAATGACAGATACCTGGCAGACTTCGCCAATTATACTGTGTCAGCAAAACCGTCTACATAAAAGCACTTTGTGCAGCAGTGTACGTTTGCCTGTGTGTGTGTGGTGTGTGGTGTGTGTGTGTGTGTTTGCTCATGTGCATTTCTGTGTTTGATCGTCAAAATTGTTCGGACGCTGTTATCAATTTATCACAATGCAACTTGTATTGCAAGGCAATTACTCGCAGTTTTTAAGTGTTATATCTGGAAAAGTTTGGCTTTCTTATTTTTTAAAATTACCTTCCACACTCATATCAAGAGCTAAAAAAATTTTGAAGCGCTCATTTACACCAAAAACAAGCCAACACACATTTTTCTTCCTTGGTTGTCATGAACGAATTTAATCCGACGGAACAATATCTGTAGACTTTATACCGTCCTAACACCCTACAACTTTACTGTTCTTGCAATAACTAAGAATTGCGTGCTGCTTATGCTGCTATTCCTCTGGATCATGATTCTACCCTCAACTGATTATTGCAGTTACTCAATTATCTTTATCCACTTCGAAGTGAAAATAAACAAAAACACACAGGCTACGTTATACATCATTCTGATATGTATCATTTCCACATAAGTACGTTTCTTCTGCTTTTACCACAATCTCTTCCCCTTTCAATTTCTATTTTAAGTCGCATTAACGCAATAAAAAAAGAATAAACGTATTCATTTAGGAAGCTCCTTAACACGTACAGCCTCCTCAATGATGTCATGTCACGTAACTCCTCGACACATTAAACCACTTAATTCAGGAATCCTAACCATACCCAAAGCTGATTGAAATTCTAGAAAAAAAATCCAATAATCTTCCCATCTCGCAACACAATAAACTCCCACAACTATCATAACAGAAGCCTCACCATCCATAACACTGCGCAAAGGAAACAGTGCGGGAAAATCCGATACACACGCAAACACAGAGACATACAGAGATAAAGACAAAGACAAACACAAAGAGTAAAGAGGAAAGAAAATAAAATTTACCGCAGAAAACCACTTTTAACACAGGTTACTCTCTCACAACGCTGACCAATACTTGTTATTTTTGTTAATTGAAAATACAAACTTGCAATAACAAACTCAGCAGGAAACGTCAATGCAGACGTCTCAGAGCGCTTCACTTGGCTGGAAATTCAACAGCCACACGTAAGGTGTAGTAACAACGTGGAGACGTATCCAGAAGGTTTCATAGCCAATGAACAAAGTGAGCTAGTCAAACAAAATGTTAAAGTAATTTTTATTTTAAAAAATGGCCCAAAAACCGCTCAAACGGGTAAGTGAAATTGTCTGCTTGGCTTAAATATTTATTTTTCAGGCAAAGGTAGTAAAATCTAGAGAACGTAAGAAAACTTCAAAACAATAACAACAAAATTCAATCTCAAACGAAAAAAGCAAGGCGCTATTTGGAACGAGGTTCACATCTCAGAGTAAAGAAAGATTAAATGACCCAGAACCGAATAAAATAAAAAATATGAAAAGCCCTGTGGGCTTCTGCGCCTCTTAACTGAGCAAATTGAAAGTGCTTGTCTACTAATACTTCGAAGATTCGAATTTTCGTATAATACTAATTCCTTAAACAGATATATTCAAAAGTTGATATTAAACTCTCATGAGCAAGAAGGGAATAGCCTTAAAACAATTAGACTGATAACAAATAAAGTTTGCTGTTACCCTGCTGGTATCAGTATTTGCGTGACAAATTTAATTGACCTCATAGGAAGAAAATGCCGCTGGGAAAATGACTTCACGACAAGATAATAAAACTAAATCATTTTATGGTATCACAAGACCACCACCTCCACGTGGCCAGCCATGAGCTGTAGTACACTCGCTTTGTCTAAAAAAATAGAGTTGCTATAACATGATGAAACGGGGGTAAATCCACAAAAAAATGTAGAAGAGGAAAAATAAACAGGTGAAGGAATGTCCCAAGTATAAAGCTACCCATGTCTTCATAAAGAGAACGCAGCCCTAGAGACTTTGTAGGGACAATAATGAATGAATAATGCATTGAATGGGAACTTAAAGTGAGATATAAAGGCCACGAAAGAACGAAAATATGAAATGTTCAGAAATTGCAAAAAAAAAAAAAAAAAAAAAAAAAAAAAAAAA